AGGAAGTTTCCAGGTCCATGTCACCATGGATGAGTCTCATTCTAACAAACTCTGCAAAGCCATGCATGCAGAGTTGGGGGTGTGGTGTGCTGGATTCACCATCGCAGTGTTACAGAACGTCAAAGCCATTAAAGGGGTCCTAGTCCAATGTGACCACACTTTCAGATACACGCTTTGAAGTGAATAATCTAAAATGAGGCCTTCAGAGTAAGGTCCTAGTCCAAAATGACTAGTGTCTTACGAGAAGACAAAAGACACCAAGGTGTGGCTGCACAGAGATGACCCTGGGAGAGGCAGCAAGATGGCGACCCACAAAGCAAGGAGAAACCAGCCCAGATTCACCTTGATCTTGGACTCCTAGCCTCCAAAATCACAAGAAAATATTTCTATTGTGTGAGCCCCGTCCATGGTATTGTTTTCCACAGTACCACAGTGAGTACACTGACTTCAATACCCCTTCCCTTCCTTCTCTAGGGATGGAACTAAGTTTTGCCTGGATATGTGGCTGCCTCTGTTACAGAATCCATTTCTTGTCTTCCCTTGCAGGCAGGTCCAGTCATTTGAGTAAGATTTAACCAATAGGTTAAAAAAGGAAATGTCAAATGTACCCTCCAGTAAGCCACACCTCCTTGTTCCCTCCATCCTTCTTGCTGGCTAGAAAGTGGCCTGATGGCTGGAGCTTTTGCAGCCAGCTTTGTTCAAGAGAAAAGTTTCATGCCAAGGAAGCAAGACAAGAGAGGGCATGAGCACCCCCTTTGCAGAACATTTAGGTTCCCGTGTAGGAGAATAATGAACCTGTCACTTAGTCCACTGTTTTGGAGGTTTTCTTTCACCCACAGTCACCTCTCCTTCACGTAGTGTCATTTTCTCTTTCTTCCTCTGCCTGCTCCCCTCTCTCCTTCAAAGACAAAGCGCTCCTCCCGGCCGCAGTCTCAGGCCAGGTTAATTGTGAGTGGGTTCTGCCAGGTCACCAGACAGTCAGGAGATGGGCCAACTGTCACCCATGTTCAATCTTGCCCCCCCGCCCCGTCCCAGTTAATTCTGTTAACTTCTCACAGGGACACGCCTGCTCAGAAACTCCAGGGCTCACAGAAGAAACTCAAACTCAGCTGGGCACCAGAGCCCTCTCCATCTGCTCCTAATCCACCTCTGCCATGTCCTCGTCTCTACAAACATGAACTGAAGCCAAGTCAGACGACTTATAGTGTGACCCGTGTGATTGTCACACGTGCCAGCTTTCTGCCTTTGGATGCCATGAATCTCCCCCTCCAGGTTGCCCCCCTGGTGTAGTGCAAAGGGCCCAGGTGGGGTCTGGAGGCAACTGAATTCAAGGGCCATATCCATTACTTCCAAGTTACGTGAACGCTGGACCTTGGTTTCCTCATCTGTAAAATGGGAATGAAAGCACACTGCGTCACAGAGATGCTCCAAATTCAGACAATTTAAGGTCTTGCAAACCCTAAAATTCTGTGCTCTTCCAGGGAGTGACTGTCCTGAACTTGGCGCTGAGCACCTCCTTCTCTTGGTTTTGCGACCTCAGACATCAATTCTCATCAGCCAGGTGGCACACGGGTAAGTGCTTTCTCTCTGTCATCCCATCCTTTCCTCACAACAACTTCACCAGACCTGGATCACCATCATTATCACCCCCATCACAGATGAAGAAACGGGGTAGATTTGAACTCCGTTCTGACTTCACAGCCCAGCCCCTAGCCTTCCACATGACTCCTCAAGGCAGGAGCTGAACCCTTTCTGACTGCTAGATCCATGAGGACCTCCACCTCTGGCCTCCCCTGAAAGTGGAGGGTCACATGTCAAGGCTACCGCAGGAAGGAGAAATAAACCTGGCCTCAGCTGCCCACCAGACCGCAGAGCGACCAGGAAAGCCATGCGCTCCTGGCGATGGGTGGCCTGGCATGGAGCCCCTCCCTGCTCCAGTTAAGCGGACCACAGGAGAAGCGTCCAGAGATGGCCCAAGCGTCCCCAGCCCCTTGCAGCTCCAGCTCCACCTTCTTCCAAAGTCCCCATCGCCACCACCTCACAGGGTCTCTCCACAGAGGAGTGGGCACTGTGAGAGAGAATTAATTTTCTCCAGGAAGGTGAGAGCAGAGATCCATCTGCAAATAGCCATGGTGTCAGAGCAAGAACCTGGTCTCCTCCCTCTTAGCCTCCTGCTGCTTTTTCTCGTTGGATGATCCTGGTCTTCGTCATTGCAACCCCAAATTTGCCTTTTCCCTCCATCCATCAGAGCCGCAGAGGAGGACTGCAGGTGACAGCCACTCATTTGGACATTTGCCTGCAGGGACCAGTGTCACTTGGACATGTGGGTATCTACCAGGTGCCTTCTGGCCTCTACAGAGTGACAGACATTCTGGCTCCCATAAACAGGAATTTTCAAAGGCTTGGATGTAACTCAACAGTAGAACACTTGCCCAGTGTGTGCAAGGCCCTGGGTGTGATCCCCAGCACCTTAAAAAGAAAAGAAAAGGTGTTTGGGCAGGTATATATGGTGCATTCCTGTAGTCTCTGCTATTTGGAAGCTGGAGGCAGGAGTATTGAGAGTTTGCAGCCAGCCTAGACAAACTTACCAAGGCCCTATCTCAAAAAAAGTAGAGCTAGGAGCATGGCAGATATGGTGGAGCACCTGCCTAGCAGGTATGAGGCTCTGAGTTCAAATCCCAGTAGAAGAAAAACAAAACAAAAGGGCTGGGGCATAGCTCAAGTGGAAGTGTGCTTGCTTAGCAAGTACAAGACTCTGGTTAAATCCCTAGAACTTCCCAAAAAACCTAGAATTTTCATAAGTAGACATGGAAAATGTAATTCTCCCACCAGATGAAGAAGCAGCTGGGGCTAGGGCCTAACACAATCCTAATCTCTAAACTCACACAGGCAGGGTAGCCTCTGCCAGGAAGGGTTAAGGCTCTACTCCATCCTGTGACATCATGACTTCACTGGGCCCTGGTACGTGTGTGTGGGGGGGTGATGGGGGGGTCAAAGTCTAAAAGTAATTATTGAGGCTCATTCCTGTAATCCTAGCTACTTGGGATGCAGACATCAGGAGGATGATGGTTCATGACCTAAAAGTTCTCGAGACTTCATCTCAACCAGTGGCTGGGAGTAGTGGTACCTGCCTGCCATCCTGGCTAAGCAGGGAAACATAAGTAGGAAAATCGTGGTCCAGGAATAAAGTGAGACCCTATCTCAAAAGTAACCAACATGCCAGGCACTGGTGGCTCACGCTTGTAATCCTAATTCCTAGCTACTTGGGAGGCTTAGATCGGTTCAAGGCCAGTCCAGGCAAACAGTTCGCAAGAGCCCATCTTCAAATTAACCAGGGCATAAAATGGACTGGAGGTGTGGTAGAGCGCCTGCCTAGCAAGTGTGAAGCCCTGAGTTCAAACTCCAGCCCTACCAAAAAGGAAAAAAAGCTAACACGCAGTGAGGGTTCCTTTGTACAGTCACCAATCTAGGCACTCCATGCAGATAAACTCACTCACGCCCCACACCTCTGGAAGCAGGTGCTGTTAGCAGCCTCACCGTACAGACAAAGAAACGGGTCGGAGAGAGTGCACAACCTGCTGCAGGTCATGGGGCAGGTGGTTGGAAGCTGGAACCCAAGAACAGGCAGTGTGGCACCCAGGCACAGGGCATGCCCACAGCGCAAGGCCTATGCATGGTGAGCACTGCAGCTCGCGGGCCACGGAGGGGACACTGTTCCACTTCCATCTCCTTCATCAAGACCCTTGAGCACCCTGGATTGCCAGGATTGTCCCATCTGCCACCTAGGCACCTTTGTTCTTCTGTCTACCCAGCTTCCCTCCCATGGCTGCAGCAGGAGAGATCTGCTCCCCTCCCCTGCTCAGAAGCCTGCTATGACTCCCTACTGTCCAAGCAAAAACGGCCCCAACTCCTTAGCCTGTCATTCTCAGCCCGCCAAAATGTGGCTGAGTCATTCCCTTCCTCACCCCCTTTCCTCAAGGCAGACGGTGCTACCTGAGATGTACTCTGGGACCACACCGGTCCCTCCTCGGGCTTGACCCCGTTTATTGGCTTGACACCCCAGCTGGAAGCAGTGAGGCCTTGTTCAAACTCCCATTTTACAGACAGGGAAGCTGAGACCCCTTGAAGCTGTGGATTTTATTTGTTCTCTGGCTGGGGATCATCTTAAAGTACCCAGGACGTGGGGCAGAAATCCGGGCTGTCCTGGCAGGGTCCTCAGTGGCCTGGGGGGCCCCTGCATGGACTCACTTTTGCATTGGGTGGTCCACTGCCCCACCTGCCTGCTGCATCTGCATCTCTAGGGTGGAGTCTGGTGTCTGCCCCTGAAGCAATCTCACACTCTAGTTCTCGAGGATGGTAGCACCTCAGCCTCCCTTCCCCCAGCCACCACTTCCGGCCCGAGCTTGAGGCCCAGGCCTCTGGGTGCTTAGATGGCTAAGCCGATGATGCTGGCTCCTTGCCCATTGATGACCTGGCAGAGCCCTTTTCCCCAGAGGCTCCGGGGAGACTCCAAGTGAGAGACCCCACCCTGGACCCCATGCCCCAAACTTGCACTGCTGTCTGGGTGCTGTGCCAAATCAGGGTTCTCTGAGCCCGGAGGGCAGACCAGGAAACAGGCAGAGGTCCAGCTTTAGGGAAGACTAGAGGGAGGCCTGCTGGCCTGGCCAAAGGCAGCCAGGGGCTCCCTTCAGAGGCCCAGTTCCCAAGAGGGGCAATGCGATAGCTCCCAACAGGACACCACACTCAGTGGCCACACCTGGGAGATGCACAGGCGTCCAGCAAGGAGGGTGACCCTGGGCAATGGGTCTGACATGGGGTTCCAGCAGGCCCCCACTTCCTCTGCTCCCCTCCGCCTCAGTGCACCTATGCCCTCCCACAGGGTGGGGAGCACTGCACCCCAGATCTTGACTTGGCCCTACACCGTAGGTGTCTGGTATTTTCCTGCACCAGGCGCTCTGGTCCCCTCTCCTCCTCCCTGTGCCCACTCAGCCCACACCTACCCACACCATGCCGCTCCTTGTCAGTCCTGCGCCAGGGGGCCATGGCAGGGGCCTGTGGGACTTGTCCTCCCGTGGGGAACCGGCAGGGGTGGCCAGGCACTGCCGGGCCCACTTCCTTCCTCTTTCAAACTCTCTCAGGGCCCGCCCTCCCCGCTCTCTTCTCCCGCCTCTGTCGGCTGGGGTTCACTAGACTGCTAATGCAAGAAGGCCCCCTGCAAAACTTGAAGGCCACCCCCAATTATCTCTTCCCCAGACGAGTGGGCACAGGCCTGGCAGGTACCTGGGGCCAGTTCAGTTTCCCTGATTCTGAGCCTAGGGTCAGCACACCCAACCCATGGTGTAAGCTTTCCTGTCAGATCTGGGTTCAAACCTACACCAGGACTTCATTTTTCTAAGGCTCGGTTTTCTCATCTGTTAAATGGGATACCAGCACCCCTTCATGTGATTTTTGTGAGGACACAGCAGGTGACACATTAGAGTCAAATACTTCCCTGGAGGAGAGTCACATGTAGCCTATATGCTTTGGGTGCCATGGTCTCAATGGAGAAGCTGGTGAAAGGCCTGGAAACCCACCTCTGAGAACACCAAGCACACAGCATCTGGAGGACCAGGCCACACTAAGCCAGGCCATTGGACCCAGGAAGAGTCTGGGAGTGAGGCCAAGGCAGACAGTTCCCCATAATGCCCCTCTGCCGCTCTTGGAAGAGTCTATCCAAAAGGAAAACGGCCCGCAGTCCATGGTGACAGGTGAATCTAAGCTTTCCTGAATTTTCTTTCTTCGTCTTGATTCCCACTATCCCTTTCTGCCCCACCCTAGAGAGTCATGGCTCACAGGCAGCTGTCACGAAATAGTAATTTTGTTTTATTTAACGTTATTAACTTTTCTGTTTTGTAGCAGCACAAGTTGAGCAGTATCTTTTCGGTGACCAAATACCTAAGAGAAGCAACTTAAAGGAAGACAAATATTTTTTGGTTTACGTTTCAGAGGTTTCAGTCCATCATGGAGGAGAGGGCATGGCAGAGTAGAGAGGCTCACATCATGGTGGCCAGGAAGCAGAGAAAGGGAAACAGGAGGGGCCAGGGCAAGATAGAGCCCCCCAAGGACATGACCCCAGTGGCCTCCTTGCCCCCACTAGGTCCCACCCCCTACCCTCACCACCTCCCAGTCGTTCTGTCACAGGATGACCCTGTCAGGGGATTGATCCATAGGCCAGAGCCCTCAGGATTGAATCGCCCTGGAGTCGATCACAGACACACCCGGTGTGCTTTCCTCATCCCCTGGGCAACTCTCACTCCAGTCAGAGGACCAGGCCAGTGTGTGTGGAGGGGGGTGTTTAGGGGTGTGTGTATCGAGTGGGGGGCGTGGGTGTATGTGTGTAGGGGTCGGGGAGGGAATTTGCTGCAGGGAATCGGCTGAGGCAGTTGTGGAGCTGACCTGACAAGTCTCAAATCTGCAGAGCACAGATAGACTGTGAGAATTTGTTTTCTCCTGAGACGTAGAATTACCTACAGAGTATTCTTGTCCCCTGACCTGCAAAAACTAAAATATTGGGTATTGAGTCCTAGAGGGCAAGCTGGAAACTCTCAGGCAGTGGCTGAAAGTGCTGTCCGCAGATGGACTTTCTTCTTTTCCAAAGGCCTTCAGTCCTGCTCTTTAAGACCTGCCAGCTGATTGGATGAGGCCCACCTGGATTACTGCAGTCCACCCCCTTTATTTTGGATCAATGGATAATGGATGTTAATCGCACCTACAGAACACTACTGGACTCTCTGATTGGCTCTGCCGACTTGACTCACAGTATTCACCATCATGACTGGCCCCAGACATCACAGGCTGGACAGCATTTTCTGCTGAGGTACAGAAAGTAAATATTTCAGTCTTTGCAGACCAAGGGCACAATCAGGGATGCTATGTGACATGTGCATAATAAGAGGAGACAAGCTTTCACAACTTTTTATTGATAAGACTTGCTTTTTATGGATTGAGTATATTCCTTGTGATACAGGTCTAGCAGTGAGAAAACCAATTTGGGAGTGGAGAGATAACATTGTACTTTATTGGGGTGTAAAGTGAGTGTTCCCTATCTTTAGAACCGATACCGAGGTTGATTTGGTAATGCTGAACTCTGTTGAAGTTTTATGTTCACCTTTGGGAACAGAAAACTCTTCACAGTCAGGCTGTAGAAACCCTTCTTTTGATTTCTCGTCTACCATTTACATATGTGGAAACTGTTCTTAGCTCCTGGCCATGTAGCAGCCAGGCACAGGTGGCTCACTCCTAGCTACTCAGGAGGCATAGATCAGGAGGATTATGGTTGGAGGCCAGCCTGGCAAATAGTTCCTGAGACCTATCTCAAAAATACCCAACACAAAAAAAGGGCTGGTGGAGTGGCTCAAGTGGTAGAATGCCTGCCTAGCAAATGTGAGGCCCTAAGTTCAAATCCCGGTACCATCAAAAAAAAAAAAAAAGAAGAAGAAGAATCCATGTGGCCAAGAACTGCAGTGTGCCACCCCCCTGCAATATGGGACTTAATAGTCTTCAGAGCCACGCCAGGCGATCTGAAGTACAAGTGGTTTTCACCTGAGGTTTCTGACACACAGACAAGTTCACACCAGCAGAGCACCGAAGCACTCGGCAGGAAGCGAGGACCAGCAGTGATGCCAGAGGCAAATTCTGCAGATTTGCTTCCCTGGTCTGCTTTGACATAACTTAAAATAGGAATCTGCCCCTTAACTAAAGTTAAACCAATGAATCATTCTGCGTACTAAAAGACTTGTAATTGCCTGCATTTGGAAGAGACAAAGTTAGACATTTATTTTGACTGGAGTTAACTAACTTTTTATCTGGGCAGGCTTTCATACAGAAGTCGTCAAGGTTCAGCTTGACTGGGAGATGGCTCTTGAGACGAAGAGAGTTAGCACCGCACTTAGTGGTTCTCCAGCACTCTGAGAAAAATTGTCACGAGAGATGCTCAAATATTAAGACCACTTTACAAATGCAGATAGCACTGGACAAAGTTTTATTAAACACCATCAGTAGGGAGTCTGGACTACTGGTGAATATAATGCCGCATACACTCCGAGGCGTGGTTGTGGGGAGAAGGACACCTCTGACCAAGATGTCTTTGAAGTCCATCTAGACAGCCTCTCCCTGCCCCACATTGAGGTCTCTGTGTGCAAAACCGAGCTGACACAACAGCCACACCCCAGACCTGTGCCTCTCCTGATTGCTTCCGTCCTCTGTAACAGGTGTAGTGCCAGGCTCTGTGGTCCAACAGCTGTGCTAGCATAGCGTCCCGACTGTGTGGAAATTAATCTTTCTTAATTCCGTTTATTAAACACGTACTGCTCGCCAGTCCCTGATCAGACACTTTACATCACAAATTGTCTCATTCATCCTCAAAATAACTTCGTGAGATAGGTACCATTATTATCACCACTTTGCTGATAAGTAAACTGAGTCAGAGGGATGAGACTCCTTATAGTATCCCATCAACCACCAGGACTGCCTCTGGGAGGTGTCATCGCACTCATCTTAAAGTCACTTTCACTACAAATGATGATTTCAGGGGCAGCTGTTGAAACTGGTCTGTCCCCCATGCCACGACCTGGCCAAGGTCCTCCATGTTTGAAACTTGGATTGGAGCCCCACCTCCAGACTTTCCTTCTTCCGATCTCTTCTCCAAGTTAGGTCTGCAACTCTCCATCCCAGAAACTGTGATCTCCCCAAGATGCCCAGGATAAGCTAGAAACGAAACACAGAGCAGGTTTGTGATAACTTGGGAGATTTCCCTGCTTTTGTGAAGTCAGCCCATTCCACAGACAAGAGCTATGCAGAGCCTCCAGTTCTGGCCAGAGAAACTGATTTGAACCATGTTGAGGAAAACCACAGAAACCAGCTTGCTCCCCAGGCACAGCGGGAAGGGAAGCTTTGGATATGCGCCTTTCTCAGAGTGAAGCATTTTGGTCTGCAGTTCGGCTGAGATTCACTAGTGTGGCTGTAATGAGTACAAAACACCGAGATCCATCCATGAAGTTTGAAGTAGCCCGTGTCTGGTGCCCCTGGAGTGCCCTCCTCCCATTCCTGCCCTGGGAAGGCCCGGATTGGGGGTCGGGGTATGACGGGGTCACCACAGACCCTGCCAGTACATTCCTTCTAATCACAGGGGTGGCCCCTTTCCCTGTGTGACCCCCTCCTTCCAGATGGAGCCACCTGGACTCAGGGCAGAGGAGGTGGCCTGCCACTATCAGATGTTAAGGTTCTTCCGGCCCACCTTCCACTGTGTCCATCACACGTGTCTTTGGGGCTGCAGCCTCTGCGGTGCTTCCTGCTCGGTTACTTCTCACAGTCATGGCAGAAGGATTCTGTGTGTCCCAGTGAGGGCTCGAGGTTCCTGTCAGGACCATGAGAGGCTCTGTAAGAAAGATGTGAGAGGCAGCTCACTACAGCAGCACGAGAACAGCAGCAAGGCCAAGGCCATGTGCAGACAACCAGGGGCTCCTATCACTCTGCCTTACAAACGAATAAGGGAGGGAGGGCTGGAAGGGGAGAGGATGAAAAGCTTTCCTACTTATTTGTCTTACTCGACTGTGTTACGTGTCATCCTTGAATTTACTGCTAATTAACCTGCTACAGAGCTGTCAATCACTCTCAACTCTTGACCAGACGGTACTGTGTGAAGTCTCCTAAAAATGCCCCAAGTTCTCACATCTCTGTGTGTTCAAGCAACAATCCTCCTCCTTCTTTTTCTCTAGGCTAACCTGTTCCGGGAGGATTTCCAGTGACCCTTCCTGTGTCCCACCGTCCTCTGCAGTTGAACAGCCATCCTGGCACTTACAGCAGCCAGCAGGTAAACTGCTCGCCTTACTCTTGCCCTGCCTGTTCCTTCTGGAACAGGCTCTCTCTCTGCAAAGCTGCCCAGGCTCATCCTTCATGCACGGTGACATCTGCCTTGCTCCCCCGTCTGCTTGTCCCTGACCCCATCCTCACCTAGAGACAATTCTATCTAGCAGTACAAACGCTAAGTCTGAAGAGTGACCTGTTTGACAAGTGTATTAGGTTCTCATGGTGTTTTGTTTTTTGAAAATGAATTGCT